TCGGCCGCTTAACCGACTGAGCCACCCAGGCGCCCCTGTTCTCTTCCTTTTAACAATTTTATACTAACTTGGTCCAACTTCAAAAGGGTTACTTCTTCCATCATAGTGAAGGAACATAGAGGGAGCATCAAATGAATAGAAAAAAGCTGACAACTATATTTACATTTAGGATATTTTCTGTATTTAATGTATACAATGTAATATTTATATTAAATGCATTATAGCTTTCTGGACCTCCACAGGTATCTCACAGCAATGGATTTTAGGGTAACAAAAGCAAACAGCAAGAAGGAGGTTATTATAGGGAGCATGTAAGCAAATTTTATCCAAATTTCTTACATGAACTACATGTTTAACATGTAAGGAAGGTATAAAATTATAAACAGAAGAGCAGAATGAAATCACTTGAGATCCACCTCCTCTACCCTTTCCAGTGACGTGCCCACAAGTATCTAATGTGGTATTACAGCAGCAAGGATAAGAAAAAGAAGAAATGGGGCTGGACAACCACAGGCTGACTGATGACCAGTTAGGAGTGAATCACTAGGCCTGAGCGTAAGTAGCCTTGGGCTTCAAAGCTGCTGGCATGGGAGAACTATTAATGAAAGAACCTAAGTGCAACTTAAGAAGATAAGCTCTTTTTCTTTTATTATAAAGTAACATCTTTCTTTTCAGAAAATGAGAAGTCTTGATAATCAAGAGTAAGAAAAAAAATCCTCCCACCCAAGCTCTTTAAGGTATATCCTTTTATTTTTAATTCATGCAAACATTTATAGAAGTTTTTTTTTTTAGCAGAACTTGTTTTTATTCCTATTACCAAAAACCCTCTAGACAATGCTGTATGTTTTGATCTCATTTTTTCTGCTTGATTTAGTGTGTGCAATCTGTTGCGAAGCACATGGCTTGTTCCTTGCTTCTCAGTATTATACACCATGCTGTGAACACTTTTTGATTCATATTCTTTAGGCTCTTTTCCTAGCACTGTAATTGACAGGATAATGGCTAATGGACTTGCATACACATTGCTGAGCTCATTCTCCAGAAAGGGTGCACCATTCCCGCTTCCACCGGCTGTGAAGACGCCTACTGTGCCAAATTTATGCCTACGCTACGTTAGATCTCTCAACGCTCTACCAATCTGATTTCCCCAAATAACTATTTTGATTCACATTTACTTCCGAATGAGGTTGGACATTTTTTGTGTGTCACTGTATATTCCTTGTTTTGTGAATTAGCTGTTCATGCTTTCGGCCTCTCCTCCTCGCTTTTTTCTGGTGCAACAGTGCCGTTTCGGATTTTTAAGATCCAGTGTTCTTTTACATTTCCTTCGAACCTTCATTTTTTAAGTTAACTTTTTACATTTAACTTTTTATACTGGAAATTTATTCTGATATGTAGAGTGAGGTCATGTTTTCTTTCCCAAATGGTTAAACACTTGGAAGGATTTCATTCTTTTCCCCACCTTTTTGAAATACTAGTGTTCTCATATACTTAATTCTTGGCTCTGCTTCCAGTAATTTTTATTCTGTTCCGTTGTCTGGGTTAATCCTACACGAGTACACATGGTTTTAATACTGTAACCGTATATATTACTGTTTAATATCATCAGCATATTAAGCAGCATGAAATTTACAAAAAATTAAAGCCATGGTGCTAATGTTCTTGGTTGCAGATTTCTAGAACTGCAGATTCACAGCCAATTATTCTATTTCAAAAACATGACATAGTTAAAAAAAATTTCAGTATAGTGAAAAAGTTATCCAACATGTTTCAAAAACCAGAGAACAAGAATGACTTCTTTTCAAGGTGTGTTTGTGTTGAGCTCTGCTTGAATTTCCTAACTATGCAGATTCTTTACAGAGATAAAAAGCAGGATTTAAAGAGGAACTCAGCCATGGAATTGATCCAGGGAGGGAGTGGGAATGGGGGTTGATACAAGTTAAAGACTCTTGCCCATTCACCTTTCCTAAACTGCCTTCCTCACGGCTCTAACTTAGAATTAACATCTTTGTAACTGGAGTGCCCTCGGACTTACCATGGCGTTCTGTTTCTGGAGGTTGAAAAGTTCGTTCTGATACATCCCAGCAGCAAAAGGATAAACTTCAGGCAGCTGGGCCTCCGGTCTCTTCAGGGCAAGCAGCGTGTTCTCGGGGTCGCCTTCCCGAATGACAGCATTGATGTGGCTCACTGCAGCCAGCCCTGAGCAGGGGTTAGGGGGTGGGTGTCACATTCCATCAGAATGCCCGCTTTTTCCACAGCTTTCTCTGCTGACCTAGCCAGCCCATCTTTCCAAGGGTTACAACCTAAGCAGTCCCTTTCCATGAACTCTGAAAAGCTGCAGATGGAGGCCAGGCAGAGCTGTGGAAATGGTAGCTCAGTACCTAGAAGTCAGTCCAGTCCATGGAGATGGTCCCTAAAAGGACTTCAGCAAAGAAAGAGCTGGGGCTCTGAGGTCACTCCTGTCTAGCATGACTTCCCTACGAAATCTTACCCTTCAGGATCAGCTCTGGTCTCACTTCCATTAGGGCCTCAGGTTGTTTCAGTTCCTCAAGAGGTCACCACTTGGGGATCCCCACAGTATTTAGAGATGTGCCATACGGATCCCATAGGCCTTGTTCTTGAACGCTCCTTGTGTATTAGTACTGCCTTTGCAAGGAGACCGAAGCTATGTGAACATCAGAAGCCAGCCTTGCCCTGCTGCTGTACCACCCCCCCCCCCACCGCCCCTCTGATGCAGCACCACAGGCAACCCGGCCAGCACCTGCAGAGAGTGCTGCCTGAGAGTGTTGGTATTCATTCTCAGAACACTCTCCCCTCCACTCTTGGGTTTTGCCAAGTGTGACTTTAAGAAAAAAACATTTCAGGTGTGTATGTGTGTGTGTGTGTGTGTGTGTGTGTGTGTGTGTGTGTGTTTAATATTACAACCTGGGGCGCGTGGGTGGCTGAGTTGGTTAAGTATCTCTCAGTTTCGGATCAGGTCATGATCTCTTGGTTTTGTGAGTTTGAGCTCCACGTTGGGCTTTGGGCTGACGGTGTGGATCCTGCTTGGCACTCTCTCTGTCTCTCTGCCCTTCCCCCACTGGTGCTTTTTCTCTGCCTTTCCACCCCCCGACTCCCCCACCCCCACCTACACTGTCTCTCTCTCTCAAATGAACTTCAAAAAATTTTAAAAATAAAATATTACAACCAAAATTGGTATGATTAAATAACTGTGCCAATATCCCCTAACCTTAAAAAACAAAACAAAACCAAAAACACTGATCACAGAAATGCCTTGGTTTACATTATCTGACCCTACCACAAGCTCTGTGAGATCTCTACCCGTTGTAATGTTCAGCTTCTAAAGACCTGAATTTAGTGACCAAACTGAGGGTGCCTGAAACAGTAGATTCATCACAGTTTTCAGAAAAAAGAAACCGAATTGCTGACCAACTGGAAGAATGAGTGACTGACCCTGCCACCAGGCAGCAACAAACTGGACAGAACCAGCAGCATTTTGTCCTATAAATTAAGTTTCAGGGTAAGAGACAGCACACAGACTCATAGAATTCTAGAGCTTTTCATGGGTAGTCTGTCTCCCTAATGCGTGACTAGATTAAAGTTAAGATTACTCTAACCCTTTGAACAGATGACAATTTGCCTTCTGCAACTCATTCACAAGGAGTTACCCTCCATAACCTTTCTCCTGACACACATCGTTCAACAGCAGGAAATACTTACAGCCAATGTGATTTTCTTTGTTACACCCCTCCAAAACTTACACTTATTCTAAAGGACTTTAAGAACCCCAACATGTTTCTCCATTCTAAGAATGGCTATGTCCAACAAAAAAAAATCCCAGAAAGAAAGGTCAGTGGACATCCGTGGCATCTGCTGTCGTGTGAAAGTCACCAAAAGCCTCCCAGCTGTGTCTCTCATTATTTTGGAGAGGATTCTACTTCCCCTTTGAAAACTCCATTATGTGAATGTGCACCACTGGATGGTAAAATAGCAGAAAATCATATCCTTATGACACTCTTTAGGAACCATTTCTCCTAAAAGTAAACAAATAAAGTGAGCTTACCCACTCATTTATACTCTGCATTTAACAGTATTTCCCGCCTTGATCTTAACAGAATATGTGTTGTAACTAATGGAACGCATATGCCAAACCAAAAAGTTAAATGATGGCAGTTCAAACAAAGCTGATGCCTCTGACAATAGATCTGATGACATTACCATCGAGGCTGTCACTTACGTCACTTCTCTGGCTGTAATGAACACAGACACCTTAACATTTTAGGATAATAACCTACATGGTTGAGAAAAGGCTTATCAAGTAGCTATACTTATTTTAAAGCATACGGTTGTCTTATTGTCATGTCCCTGACTAAAATATGTTCTAGTGGGTTTTTCAAGACTGTTGTTAGTTCTATTCGATTATAAATTTTCAGATGGGGAGAGAGAAAACAACTTCAGAATCATCATGTTCTACGCATTGGAAACCGGCGAACGTTGCAATGCCCTTCATAATTTGAGCTGGTTATGCATCAGTGCAAATCATCTCATGCTTTTTATTTGAAAATGGGAAAGAAAGCATAGCCACTGTGGCATGAAATTTGTGGTCAGGAAAGTATGCCATTAAGTATGAAAACATTTATATAAGGTATTCTATTAAAAAAAAAAAGAACCCCCCCCCAAAAAAAAAGAGAAGAAAAAGAAAAAGAAACCTGTTTTCAAAATAAAGGATGGCAAAAGGCTATGGAATCATTTCCTCCCAAAGTTTATGGACCTCAGCTGCCTTGCTGGCAATGTAATTTCTTCCTGTAATTCATTTCTGTCGAGCATAATGAAATTCTCAGTTTTCAAATAGAGCAGAAAGAGAAACTTAAAACTGTTTCGTGTACCATCACCAATATGTTCAAAATTAAATAAGAATGAAAGAAGAACATACATTCCCTGGTGTTAAGGTGATCCCTTAAAAATAAAGTTACCCTGGAGCTGTCAGCAATTTTGTGTGTGAGGGAAATTCTCAAACCCACTCAGTTGTTAACTGCTAGATACTTACATCAATTTTCTCTGGGCCTCCTTAATTACTGTTTGAACCCTTTGAATATGCCTCTACCAGTCACTTGGGGCAAACTTCTAGGGAAAACCTATGGTGTCTTTGCAACTGTTAAGTACAATAAAGAGCATTCAAAGGTCATCTAGGAGGTTAAATCAGGGACAAGGCTTAGGACTGTTATAATTACTGGACACTCCCAAGTTTAAATTGGGCAGATGGTTCACAAACTTTATCAAATGGGCTCAGTGGTCTTCCATGTATTAGTTTTTTGTGTATATATGGGCTTTTTCGAAAGCCACAGGGGAAATAAATGTCAGGTAGAATTCCTTACTGCCTCAAGTAAAACCAATTAAAAAAATTTTTTTTTAACGTTTATTTATTTTTGAGACAGAGAGAGACAGAGCATGAACAGGGGAGGAGCAGAGAGAGAGGGGGAGACAGAATTGGAAACAGGCTCCAGGCTCTGAGCTGTCAGCACAGAGCCCGACGTGGGGCTTGAACTCATGGACCGTGAGATCATGACCGGAGCTGAAGTCGGACGCTTAACCGACCAAGCCACCCAGGCGCCCCAAGTAAAACCAATTTTTAAAAAATTTCTATTTATTTTTGAGAGAGAGAGAGGGGGAGGGAGGGAGGAAGCAGGGGAGGGGCAGAGAGAGAGGGAAACAGAATCTGAAGCAGGCTGTAGGCTCTGAGCTGTCAGCACAGAGCATGATGCAGGGCTTGAACCCACACACTATGACATCTTAACTGGAGCCGAAGTCATACACTTAACCAACTGAGCCACCCAGGTGCCCCATAAAACCAATTTTTATTAGAGATGGGAAAAAGGCTAGTAAAGAGATTAATCTCTCTGAACTTACATGTGATACTTTTAATTACCCTAGTTTTCTGTTCTTTACTGTCACACAACTGAACTGGATATGAAGAGAAATTACACTGTGAGACTCCCCAACAGTTTGGGGACATGAGATTCAAACTCGCCACCGTGCAATTTCACTGGCCCATTCAGTCTCATTCACTTGCCATAAAGGTGCACACACTGTAAGAAAATAATTCTTACCAAGTGCAAACCAATGACTGGACAGTAAAAAAGAGCACAGGTGTCAACAATATTTTTTACAATTCCAGTCAAACACTGTCACATAATCATGGGCAAGAAATGAAAATCCTTAGGTCATAATCTTTTACTAAACAGCCTTCAATATGAGTCCAACTAAGGGATAGGTTCGAAATGAGATGGTAGAACTAAACTAGCTTCAAGGTATTCCAAGATACTCTGCATGCACTGGGGGGCAAGATCACCCCCAAAATTCCATGGGATGCTGCCAGATGATGCACCATAATTAAGAGCAACATTGACATTTAGTGGATTTTTCACCACATAAGACAATTTTACAAGGACACAAATGGAGTTTTGGTGCAATTCTGACAAGGAAACTTTGTATCTCTGTTTCCTTCATTACTTACTGTTGACTTTATTGATGTTGCCTTGGATTTCTGCTTGTGTCAGCAGCTCTTCATAGGCGTCTCTTTCTTCTTCGGAAATACAGTTATTCTACAAGACAAAGTCTTTCCTGATTCCTGAGGTTAAATACAAGGTTTCCAATCTCGATATTCAAAATCCAAATGCCAAGAGTGAGAAAAATGGTTTACTTAGATTCGTTTGAATTCAGAATAAGCACCAAAGAGTGCTTGCTCTGTGCAAGACACTGGGGTTACATACACCTGGCAAGGATGACGAAGAGGAACAAGAGCCCTAGTGACTCTCTGAAAGTGTCTAACTGTCTCTTGTGAAAAACATTAGGTTGGACTACTTGATACTGCCACTTTGTGTAGACTGAAGCCAGTGGAATATTGGCAATTTCACTACATTCATCTAATAATATCGACACCATAAATAACAAATATATGTAGAACAGACCCTGTAGAATTACACACTCAGTTGGAAAGAACACTTGAACAAGGTGACAACCGAGGAGAACCTGGAGGAACAGGGCAGAGAGGGGAACAGGGTGTAGACTACAGGATTTGGTGAAAAAGGCAAGACAGTTTGGCAAGTTGGGCTACAGCACACAGCCAGAAAGATGGGGAGGTTGGTTGGGTATCCTGGAAGTTTTTTTTTAATGTTTATTTACTCATTTTGAGAGAGAGAGAGATAGTGTGCAAGGGAGAAGAGCAGAGAGAAAGAGAGAGAGAGAGAGAGAGAGAGAGGGAGGGAGGGAGGGAGGGAGGATCTGAAGCGGGCTCTGTGCTAAGAGCAGCGAGCTCCGTGCAGGGCTTGAATCCCTGAAATGTGAGATCATCAGACGCTTAACTGACTGGGTTACGCAGGTGCCCCCTCCGGAGGCTTTTTAAAGCCAAGTGAAGGGCCTGTACTTAACTCAGTAGGCAGCAGGGAATGCAGGGAGGTTTCCAGGGGCTGATATCAGATCTATAGTTGAAGATTACTTTTGCAACCTGTAGCTCCGAGAGCGGTTGGTTCGGAGGATGGTAGGAAGCAGGGCCACCCTTGAGGAAGGTGCTGGAAGAACCCTGAGGCATGGTAAGGGGGGAGGGCAAGGCTGAGACAAGAATGGTAAGACTAGAAAGTGGGAGACAGATGTAAGCCTGGCAAGAAGAGGCAACAGAATGCAGTGATGGATATGGGGGGCACAGAAGGAGTTCTAAAACATGGGGGAAGTCTTTCCAAAGTGAAGTCAGTAAGGCGCCCATGTGTGAGAAGGGCAGGGTAGAGATAAGCACTCTTCACTCTTCCTATGTAGTGAGGGGCAAGGCCCATGGGACAGAGATGAAGTCACCTGGAGGAGCATTAGAGGGCCTGGTAGCAAGCTCCTATCACTTCAGTGAGTGGATGAGCTTAGGAAGAACAGAGACAGATGGGATTTAATGTCAGACCTTAAAGAATTCCCATACACAGAGGCAGGAGGAAGAAGAGACACTAAGAGATACAGAGGAGAACCATGGCAACAAAGCAGCAAGGAGCTACGTGAGTCAACAACCTCAAGGCAGGTGGTCAGGGGTGGGGGCGGGGGAGGGAGCAAATGTGCCAGATAGCGCCAGAAGCCACCAGGTGAGAAAAGTTTGGGAACGGAGCTGAAGCTGATGTGGCAAGAGCTTGAGGAGGAGAGAGGTGGCCAGGAAGTGGAAGCTCTACGTGTATACAAAGTCCACAGTCATGTAAGGCACGTTGGGTCAAGTCAGGATCAGGCTGCCTTGCAGAGGACGCAAGGCAAAATATGAGGGTGAACTAATGGGAGAAAACGAGGAGAGTGAATTCAAAAACAGCATCTCTCAACTTCACCGCAATGAATCATTACTCTCTACTAATGAATCTAAAGGTATCCTGGCTAATACAAGGTCTGCAGGTGGTGATGCCTCACGAGGGAAGATGTTTAGCTACTGTATCTACACTTCCCAGGAAAGTAGTAAAAATTTACGATATGACCTTTAATCCTTGCAACTTGGAAGAATCATCATAAAAGGAAACCTCATTTTTTTTACATAGTGCATAGTCTTCTCTTACCCTTACATTTCACCCAAACCAATGGCCTATGGCTACAGAGACCACAGCCAGTTGATTTAAAAATATCACTTTTAACAAAAAGGCTTTTTTATGCTCATAGCCATAGTACTAGGAATCTAATTAAATACCTTCAGTCTTGCACTTTCCTCTTTTCTCTTTTTGGCTTCCCAGAGTTCCTTCTGATACTCCTGTGCAAGGTTGTCATCTATTAAAGTTAAAACTGCATTTGGGTTTCTTAGCGTTATGATAGTTTGTTCTGCTATTCCTTTTTCAATAGCTTCATTAATGGCTATAACTGCAGCATGCACTGAAAAGAGAAAAAAAAGATTTTTATCAGGAAAGACAACATGGGCAGCTGTAATGACACCACATAATGTAAGCAGTTTGCTTTCCTTTAATTCACTTTTCTTTTACTTTCTTCTCTGGCTTCCAGTAACAAGGGCAAAAGAAGAGACCCTAGGCATTTCCCAGAGAGCCCCTCCGACGACCTCTCCACCTGCCCATCTATCTTGGGTCCTGTCTCCTAAGCATCTACCGTGTAATCTGTATTAATTTACTCACTACCGAAGAAAGCAAAGGGCCAGGACAGGACGTAGAAAACCAAGAAATATTTTGGAGAATAAATATATTTCTAAAACCTTTTAATTCAAACTGCATAAGTAGATGTTTAAAGACTAAATCAATCCCATGGTTATATTTTCATGTGCTCAACTTAACCATCTACAATACATACAATAAAAACTTCAAAACGGGGCTGAAAGTATTTTCTAAACATTCTATTTCTTGTAACCAAAATCAACGAATAAAGTATAGGTGAATCCCATGTCAACAGCAAGTTCTGATTTCAGGAGACTCACAAGCAGCTTCATCCACTGACAGTTCATTAGCCAGAATACCACCTATTTTGCTGAAAGATGGCATTTGTATTCCATATTTGTCCAGTTCCTTTCTCATATTACTAATTTCCTCCTCTGAAAAAAAACAACAAACAATATCAAGATGGAGGTAGGAATGAGTATATTCATGTCAAGAAATGTCTTCATCCCCCAGGTCTCTCTCCCCAAAATGCAAGGCTTATTTTTCTAAATAAAGAAAATCAAAAACACGACGCCATTATTTAAAAACAAAAAGAAAGGAAAAAAAATGTCTTTATCAAGAAGGCGGGACATTTCCGAACAAGAACCTTAGGAAGGAGTCAACCTCAGTTTCTCATTTCACAAATGTGGGGAAAAGGAAAACTGGTCAAAGACAAACAAGATGATAACGTTTTCTCCTCTGATCAGTACAGAAGAAAAAGGGGTTCGATGATGTCAAAAGGAAAAAAAATATAGATTCATTTTCTTAGTAAACAACCACGTAAAAATCGTAAAGATAAAGAAGAGTACCTGTGAAGTCGACTTTGCCCAACAAATCCTGGATTTGGGGGGCTATCCCTAGTTTGAACAGGTATAAACTGGAAGACAGAACATAAAATTATGAGAAACTTCATCATATAAATCTTAGAATTATAAATTACTTCAATCTTTTTTTTTTTTTTAATTTTTTTTTTCAACGTTTATTTATTTTTGGGACAGAGAGAGACAGAGCATGAACGGGCGAGGGGCAGAGAGAGAGGGAGACACAGAATCGGAAACAGGCTCCAGGCTCTGAGCCATCAGCCCAGAGCCCGACGCGGGGCTCGAACTCACGGACCGCGAGATCGTGACCTGGCTGAAGTCGGACGCTTAACCGACTGCGCCACCCAGGCGCCCCTACTTCAATCTTTAAAAAAATTTTTTTAATGTTTATTTTTGAGAGAGAAAGAGAAACAGCATGAGCAGGGAGGGGCAGAGAGAGAGAGGGAGACAGAGAATCTAAAGCAGGCTACAGGGTCCCAGCTGTCAGCACAGAGACCGATGCGAGGCTCGAACTCATGAACCAGGAGATCATGACCTGAGCTGAAGTTGGATGCTTAACCAACTGAGCCCCCCAGGCACCCCCAAAATTACTTCAATCTTAAGGGCTTCTTTAGTTGAGAAAGACCTAAGAGATGATCTCATCTAATTCATTCATTTTATAGATGGAGCAACTGAGGTAACATAATCCTTGGTCGACGGGGACTATAACTGTAGTCTAAGTCCCAAAGTCCCATGGCATTTCTGTAGGATCAACTAACTCTCTGGCATCCATTTGTACGGAGAATAAGAAACATGACTGATACAAAATTGTAGGTAATAAACCCAAACATTTCCTTGGATATTCCTTGTAGGATTCTTATTTTTTTGAAAGTACAGCTCAAGTTTTAATTTCCTTTTCAATATTCCTTTAAGTAACATTTGAGGAAATATTTGTTTTACATTTTCTGAAACAAATACAGTAGCAAGACTATTAGCAGCTGGGGAGATGTTAATGATAAACCACGATATGGGCATACTACTAAGTGGAACATGGAGAATAAACTTTCTGTGTGCATATGTATGTGTGTATTTCAAACCCCTTAAGTAAGGATGGCACCCACTAACCTACCCATAATTTGACAAAAGTTGCTGAGGGCCAGCATCTAAATTTTGCCAAACATGAAAATATATGGTTATGTGGCTTTTTCCACTTAATCACTGAGTCACGGTTTCTGTTCCATATTGATTCTAACCTCCTCAGCCCCAAAGATTAATCCTATCAGTCAACTAAAAAACAAAAAAATCTGTATTCACTTTATTATCAGTTATGATAGGTTTGTAATTTATGAGATTTTTAACTAGAAGTTAGAACTTACACAATAACATAAGAGAAAATGAATTGAAAATGATTTCATTGGCTTGAAATATTTCAAGATTATCACGTCAGATGCTGATGTGAGATATACCTGAGATTATAAAATACATAAAACTTCACTAAAGAAGTTCAAGATTGAGCCTTTTTAAATGGTATTAACACAAACTCTTAAAATGAAGGAATACTCAATTTAAGGAGTATGCATTTCAATCTTCTTTGGTCGTTTCTTTTTTTTCTTTCTTTTTAATGTTTATTTTTGTGAAAGAGCACACGTACGCATGCACAAGTGAGGGAGTGGCAGAGACAGGCGGGCAGAGGATCCAAAGCGGGCTCCGCACTGACAGCAGCAAGTCCGATGTGGGGCTCGAACTCGTGAACCATGAGATCATGACCTAAGCCAAAGTTGGATGCTCAACTGATTGAGCCACCCAGGTATCCTCTTTGGTCATTTCTGTACAAAACGATCTTTTGAAAAAATAACACACAGTCCACATTAAAAATTAGTGATTCATGTTAAAAAAAATTTTCTTGGTGCAGAGAGAGCGGTTAAGCTGCCGTCCTGGCCTCCTCAGTTGTAATCATCCGCGGAGTTCGAGTTCCTCGTCAGGTTTCCTTCCTGATGGCTCGAGCCTGGAGCCTGAGCCTCCCATTCTGTGTTCCCTCTCTCTGCCCCCTCCCCCGCGCCGCCGCCTCATATGCCTTCCTCTTCTCTCTTGTCCCAAAAATAAATAAACGTTGAAAAAAAAATTAAAAAAAAAATTATACAGAAAAGCATCATCCACAAACACCTTCCAATTATTTTGGACATAAACACTTTAATGCAGCATTTGAAATACTCCACCATAAACTCCTCCTCACATAGTATTCATTATATATGAATACCTAATCAGCTTTTACCTGTCCAACTGCTGACTGACCACACATATTTATATGCTAATTATTCACCATTATTACAAATAATGTTGTAGGAGGGTAGTGTCATGCGGGCGTCGGGTGCAGGAGCTGCCTGATCGTCATGATCTGGCTTGTGGGTTTGAGGCCCTATCGCTCTTTTGCTGACAGCTCTCTTCAGACCCTGGAGCCTTTTTTCCAGACTTGCATCTCCTTCCCTCTCTCGCTCCTCCCTCGCCTTACACTCCCCCTCTCTCTCAAAATAAAATGTAAAAAACTAAAAAAAAAACTTGGGTGGTTGGCTCAAGCGAGCTTGCTGTCTGATTGTAGGTCACATCTGCGGTCTTTGAGTTCGAGCCCCGTGTTAGCTCTGCTGATAGCTCAGAGCCTCCTCCTGGAGACATTCTGCTTTTTGATTCTGTGGGCTCTCTCTTCCTGCCCCTCCTGCTCACATGTTTGCATTTGTTCTCATTAAAATAAATGTTAAAAAAATTTAAAACAAACAAACATTAAAAATCCTTATGCTCAGGTTCAAGGCTGTTTATGTCTGACTTGGGCTCTCTAGGTCATATCTGATAATACACAGTCTGTGGGAGCTCCACTCCCCCCCAGGTTTCAGGTGCTGAATGCTTGTTTCAGAGCCTGAGCCTGCCTCTTTCGGATTCTGTTCTCTCTGCCCCTCCTCCGCTCTCATATACATAATGTCTCTGTTCTCTCAAAATAAATAAGTTAAATTAAAAATTGCAAAAAACATTTAAAAACTTAAAACCTCAAATACAGAACTCCCATCTATATATGATACATATTTGTGTATGTATTCATCTGTTACAATAACCTTTTAAAAACAAAACTGCTACACCTTGGAGGAAGAAAGATTATATCAATATAAAGCTTTCTTTAAAGCTTTCAATCCATATTGTCAATTGTGTTCTGTAAAAGAGATACTCATTCTTTAGAGTAAGCATAATAAAACACCATTCCCTCCGCGGAATGAATCTGACTTTTCATGGTATTTTTTTTTTTTTAATTTAAATCCGTTAAGTTAACATACGGGTGTAATAATGATTTTCAGGAGAGGGCTTCATGGTGGCGAAAGTCGGTTAAGCCAGTCCCACTTCAGCCAGGTAACATCCGTGGTCCTGGTGAGCTGAAAGCCCGGGGCCAGTTCTCCTTGGCTGGCTGGCTCGAGCTCTGGCCTGTTTCCCGATTCTTGTGCTCCCTCTTCTGCCCCTCCCCCACCATATGCTCTGTCTCTCTCTCTGTCCCAAAAATAAAAATAAAAATCAAGAAAAAAAAATAATGAATAGACTTAGATTCATCACTCTGGCTACACGTTAATCATCCCAAGTGCCCCTCCTTAATGCCCACCATATCACTCACTTAGGCTCCATTCTGCAGCAACCCCAAACCCCCCCTACAAATCCTCCTCTTGTTGCTCATATTTAAGAGTCTCTTATGGTTTGTCTCCCTGTTTTTATCTTATTTTTCCTTTCCTTCCTCTATTTGCATGTGTTTAGTGCCTTAAAACCCATATGAGTGAAATCATGATATTTGTCTTTCTCTGACAGACTTATTTCACTTATTATAATACCCTCCAGTTCCATCCATGTTGTTGCAAATGGCAAGATTTTCTTTTTGATCATGGAGTAACATTCCATTATTTATATATATGGCATTATACACACACACACACACACACACACACCCACACACACACCCATATCTTCTTTATCCATTCATCAGTTGATGGACATCTGGGCTATTTTCATAATTTGGCTATTGTTGATAGTGCTGCTATAAACCATGGGGAGCATGTGGCCCTTTAAATCGGCATTTTTTGTTATCTTTGGATAAATACCTAGTAGTGCAATTTCTGGGTCACAGGATAGTTCTATTCTTAATTTTTTTGAGGAACCTGTTTGTTTTCCAGAGTGGCTGCACCAGTTTGCATTCCTACCTGCAGCAATGCTCTGCTCCCCTAGGAACCTGATAAGCATATTAGTAAGCATAATTGCTGAGGACAAAACACCTCATTCATAAACTGCATCTTGACTTGAAGGAATTATATTAAATTTATTTTTATTTTTTTATTTTAGAGAAAGAGCATGAGTGGGGGGAGGGACAGAGGGAGAGATAGAATCCAAAGCAAACTCCATGCTCATGAGCCCCCAACGTGGGGCTCAATGCCATGACCCTGGGACCATTGGACCTGAGCAGGAATCAAGAGTAGGATGCTCAACACACTGAGCCATCAGGTGCCCCTTACTTGAAGGAGTATGTTTAGGTGTTCCTGAGTTTGGGGACTGCTAACTTGCATACTCCTTGTAGGGAACTGGGAAGCCCAATGGAAGGTGTTAAAATAGACATTGGCTCCTGGGGCTAAGGTCCTATGCCAAGAAGGCTCCTGCAGTCACCAAGGGAAGTCTCACTCCTCAGCACCTAAGCTGTTACCTAGCCTACAAAAGACAACAGCTTGCAGATGGCTCTGTGGTTAACTGTGTGGAGTGTCACGACGTCTCCCACTGAAGAGCAAACACTTGTTGTGCCAGCAGACTGCTTTTCGGGCTTCTCTATCCTTCTGAGCAACTAGGGCCAGATGTGGCTTATAGCAGTTAAGAGAATGGACACTTAGCTGAACCTAAGAACCCACTGATGACTGGGACCTTACTCCACCACGTATCCAAGAGAATGCCATTTTCTTGCTTCGCTTATCACCACAGAATACTATCCATGAAAACCTAGGAAATCTGAGAGCCAAAAAATGTTAAGTCTGCATTCTCTTTTGTTAGTTGTTGAGGGTAAACATTTTTC